CACACACACACACACACACACACACACTAACCATGACAGGTTCATCTGGTCCCCACAAAGACAGCAGGAGGCTGTTAAATCTTGTACTCACAGCTTTAAAAGCTTCCTCCAGACTCCTGTAGGACGTGGGGCTCACTGCACTGCTGCAGGCTGGTTTCTTGGTTTGTTTGTTTGACACCAGCTTCTTACTGTGTGGCTCAGCTGCAGGAGGAACCTGCTCCTTGTTCTGCTTCTTCCCAGTCTTCTCCAAAGTGTCGAACACAGTCTCTGACATCTTGATGGGAGCTGAGAGAAACAGTTAGAGAGCTGTGGTAAAACTCGGAGTCTTTCTTCTACAAACACAACAATATTTAAAGAACGAGGTGTCTGATGAAATTATTTCTCACTTTTAACCCTCAACCCTCCTCCCTTTACGACATCCACATGATCTGTGACAGTCGTTAAATTTAAATTAACATCCTTAAACCTTTTTTTACACGTTCTAAGACAACTTGGCATTTTTWTCATCTGAACAACTCTAAAAATATTTAATAAGCTCAATAAAACCAGTGTTTGCAGGAACAGTTTTCTTCTTGTAGACAACACAAAAGCTTTGGGCAAAACTCGAGATGACGAAAATAAAATATAATTTATTTTTAAAAACTTTAACTCAGTGTGAACTGTCTCATGATTCAGACCTGAAAACAAATTTAGTCAGTGGTTGTTGACTGAGTTAAACTGTTATTATTCGTTCGTACAGATGTAAAAATACTTTATTTTTTATTTTTTAAGGCCCACCACTGTCATGTTTATCCACAGCACAGACTTTGACCAGGAGGAAACTCAGATAAAAGTTGTTCACAAACAAATAACTGTTAAAATCATTATTTGAAAACTGTGATTTTACAAGTGAGATTTTATAAACAAACACAAAGTCTGTTTCTTAAAYCAACAAACAGTTTGCAAAAAACAGAATATAGTTTTTAACACAACATGTAGATGTGTTTATACAGAATAAATGAACAGGTTTTTAAAGGGCTATAAGAAACATTGTGTTAAAAACATGCCTCTAATGTAGCTTTGTGTGACTTTTGTTAGCCTGTGGTTACAAAATAACAATTAAAGAAATGTTGTGTGTCTGTTCACAGGAAAAGAACAGACAAAAACTATGACAGGGGACATCACAAGAGTTAAAATCACAACATTGGTGTTAGCTAACACACATTATTTTTTTAGTCTTATTTAATGAAACTAACAGAAAATGCAGAATAACGTAAAAATATCCATGAAAATAAGAGAATTCTGCACAATATTGTTGTTCAGCTAAAACAGAAACAAATGCAACTAAAATAAAGTCACGATTATTTCCTTTTTTCCCAGAGAAATGCTGTTTTTATTTATTTTTACCACTTCCTGTTCGGACTGCGTGAAAAGCTAACCTGTTAGCTCGACATGCTAACAGCTTCTTACTGTGNGTACCACTCAGGCCTGTGGTTAGAGTGTAAACCTGTTCCACACCTCAGTACCACTCAGGCCTGTGGTTAGAGTGTAAACCTGTTCCACACCTCAGTACCACTCAGGCCTGTGGTTAGAGTGTAAACCTGTTCCACACCTCACTGTGTTGTTGTCAGTTGTGTTGTTCCTTCCTGTCCCTGCTCCAGAATCAGGCCTACAAAGGTGTGGAGAGGGACCCGTACTCTGGAGACGTGGCCAAGGTGGCCAACTCCATGAAGAAGGATCTGGGTCTGGGTCCTGTAGACGGAGAATCATCCAACAAACCCACCGGTCGAGTTCACCAGGGGGTCCGAGACCTGCACGAGTCCTCCTTCACCCTCGCAGGTGACTCACAACTAACTCTCCACAGTTTGTGAGGTTTAGTTTGTGACTGTGTCAGCCTTACCTTTTAATCTTTTATCTGATTTGATTCTTTTAGGGTCTCAGGTGGATGACCACATCCCGAAGAGGTCGTCRGCCCGGATCCTGGCCCCTCCCGGTGGTCGCTCCAGTGGGATTTGGTAATGTTTGGTGCTGGAGCCTCACCTGTCCAAGCCTTTGTGTTTTATTAAATTTAAAGSAACCAGGAAAACTGCACTGATTTTCCAGCACAGAAACAGGAAAACAAACAAAAACAGATSAAATTAAACATGAGTTCGATGAGTTTGGTTCACAAAGTGACTTTTACAAATCTTTGTGCTTTGATTGGTTTGAGCTGATCACTTCCACCATAATGTAAATTTTAAAACATTTTATCAAATTCAAGCTAATCGTATTAAAAACCTTTGTTAGGAAGAGGAGCTAAAGTAACCTGTGAAGGATCAAAACCAGTACAGTTTTTAATGGTTTGAAGTGATGTTGACTTCATTGTTCTTAAAACCCAGTGGATTGTGTGACGTATCAGAAGTGTGTCACACACGTACAGTGCACTGTAGACACCATAGCTTTAGTTTACTGTGAAGATGTGTGGGTTGTGTTTGTGATGAACCCTCCACCGGACCACCCAGAGGGAGACCACCAGTGGCTGTGTGGTGATGACATCAACTGTTAAAACTGTGTCTTTAAAACCTTTAACTTTCACTGCCTCTAACTGAACTAACAGGACTCCTGCTCCAAGATGTCTGCTAGGACCCCAGGGTCTGACCGGTTCTGATTCTACAGAACCTAAYGTGGACCTGCAGTGTACGATGGTTAAACATGTAGTTAAACAGGGAAAGTTTCTTTCTTTATGCTAACCCAGATTACAACAACAAAGATTATTKTAATTTCTGAAGCAGAACGAAGTTTCTTCTCAGTCCTGAAGGATGAGAAAACAAAGTTCTTCACAACGTCCTGATCAGACATTTCCTCCTGTCTGGTATTTTACCACTTTTTAAATGTAGTCCCTTTAAAACGGTTGTGTTCCTGTGGGTTTACAGCTCATAAGATCACGCACACATCTAAACATGTTGACTTGCAAACAACTAAAACTGATTTATCTGATAAAAAGTCAAACATCAACATGAGAAAAAGGTTGTATCTGATAGTTGTTGTACAACTGTGCAGCGTCGCTTTATGACACAAAACAAGTTTGATCCTGTTAGTGCTGCACAACACTTTGTGTGTCCGTTTTATCATGGAGGGATTTTTTATCAGCAAATGTTGTTGTTCTGCTGAAACACTTTACTAAATGTTCAAACACACACTGATCTTTACAAAACCTCCAGATTTGAAATAAAAACACAACATCCAACATTAAAGCTGTTCATTCTGTGCATCTCTAATGGGAAAACATTGTCGTTACACTTTTCCACCAGTAGCTGCAGGAATTCRCATTAAGTTGTGATAAAAGCTGTTTGTGTACAAACTGTGTGTGTTTGCAGGATTGTTGTTAGAGCAGTGTTTGTTCACAGAGCAGGAAGATTGAGCTGCACTTTCTGAAACACACAAACTACTGATTGTCTCTCCTCCTGTTCATGTCTCATTTCATGCTGACTACTGTTATATTTATTCATGTTTCAGTGTTTATTTATTTAGAAATGTTGCTGTATTAATGACTGTTGGAGGAATAAATGTGCCAACTGGAAACAAGCGGTGCCACACTGCATGGAGGGACCGTTAAGTCTSCACTGAAACTCACAAAATCATTAAAAATGGTGCTTTTTTTCTAGGATGACTTATTATACAGTGTTACTTTGTTAATGGACATTTATTTGTCATGTTGAAGGCACTGTGACTGTGTGTGACTGTGTGTGACTGTGTGTGTTTGTAGCTTCTTGTGTTGGAAAACTCTAAAGTGGCTGTTTGTTTCTCACCACAATAACAACAATTTAATAAAGACAAAAAAAGTAACGAGACTTGATTGTTTTTTTTAAACCTTTGTTAAAACATATTTCTGTTATAATAAACAAATACACCCATAAAATGGAAAACTTGTTTCTACATATTAGAACTGTTCAAAAACTAAATAATAGATAAAACATTTAAATTTTTAAGAACAAATGAAATCATTTAATATAATTTGTTTGTCAATGATTTCATCTCAGTAGCTCAAGTCTTAAAGTTACATTTTTAATTTGTGGAATATTTTTCAAATAGTTCAGTTTTTAGATAAATTAAAAACCACAAGCAGATTAAAATAAAGTTTTAAAAATGTTATTGTTGTCTTTATGGTGTTTCAGTTGTGTACAGACAACAAGCCTGATGAATTATTATTAAGTTAGTTATTTGTAAGTGCACATTGAGAGCATTTCACCAGTCTGTTGTTGGTCCAATCAATCAGAATCAGGTTTTTAGGGATTTGTTTCGGTGTAAAGCTGCAGTTCGTATCAAATATTACAAAAGAAGAAAAAACAAAGGATAAAGGCAAAATATAATAAAATATTTAAAGTTAACTTCTTTAACCAAATGTATTTTTCTTCTTTTNACATGCTAACAGCTTCTTACTGTGAAAAGCTAACCTGTTAGCTCGACATGCTAACAGCTTCTTACTGAATCTGATTGAAGGAGAGAAAATAAAAACAGTGCTGCGTTTGTGATCGGTTTGTAATTAATGCCTGAGTATTTGGGCTGTCAGTCATTATAAAAATTATAACAAAACAGAATATAATGATAAAATTAAGAGAAGGCTAGCTAGCTAGCTGCAGCTAGCTCGTAAATCAGATGACAGTCCTGATGCATTCAGGGTCAGCAGCTCGACACGTAGAAGTGGATTTTTAGTSTAAAATTTGACAAATAAAACCCAGATAAAACAAGCAGGCCGTGTTGACTCACGTCTGGACGGTTGTTGGTTTGATTCTCCCAGAGCTTTCCTTGCTCCTCCACCTCCTCCACCTCCTCCACCTCCTCCTCCTCCTCCTCCTCCGGACTTCTTGTCGGTCTTCGCTCCTCCGGAGTTGGTTTTCTTCCCTTTCTTCACGACCTCCCACTTCCCGGCGGAGCCATTGTTTGAGGCCATGTCTCGGGTCCAGTTGAGCTGGTCTCGGTTCGGGTGAAGGGGGTACCGTGACTTCCTGGGTCCGTGAGGATTCAGCTCGTTTCGAACGTCGCTCTGATCATCGGTCAGCCCGCGTGCCACGTCTCTTTGTCGGCATGACGTCACAGCGGTGCGTTCAAAGCCAGTAATTTAAAAAGAAGTTCGGACACGTTTCAAACCTTCAGTTCACTTTGAAACAAACTTTATGTTTATCTGAAAATAGAAGAAAGTGCATCAAATCCATGACTTAGCTTCTTAAATTTATAACGTAAATTCAGACAAATGAGCCCTTATTATGATGTCATCTCATAATTATGAGATAATTAGTCCTGATTAGAGATCATGTCTCATAATAATGACTTACTAGGTTCTAATTATTCARTAATAAATGTGAGCCATCATATCTAAATGACCTAATTACATTTTCTGTTTCTTGTCTTTAAAAGCTACATTTTGACACCTTGATCATCCTGATATCAGAATTAAATCCATATATATGACTTAATTTGTCTTGTTGGTTACAATAATACATAAATATTTGGTCNTATTAATTATCTCCTAGTTACAAAAATACAACAAAACAGAAACAACAACAAATAAAACTTACATAAATACCCCTTATTCTAATTTATATTTGATCAATAAACCAACTTTAATCATTTTTTAAACACAAACTGATCCAGTATTTCTAACATCACTCTCCAGATTTCAACAGTTCAGATGAACATTATTTATTTATTTCACGCTTTATGTTAAATATTCTGAAAACTGAGCCACACAGAAGTGATCTTAGTGAATTATTTGGGATTTTAATAAATATAATAAAGTAAAGATGCCTCTCCAACATGGCGGCCACGGAGCGTCAGTTGCACCGCAGCTGCGGAAAGCTGCCGTGTTGTGCGCATGCGCAATGCTAGCATCTTAGCTAGGAGCCGTCGAAACGGAAAAGCTCCCGATCCTAAACAACAACAACAACAGGACGGCGGCGGGAAAAGACACAGCTTTTACCTGAGTGAGTAAAATCAACACAACTTTATTTCACAACCGTATTTTTGAGCCACAACTTGATGTGTTTGACTGCAGCTGCGGTTCATGTATCAGATAAATACTCGTTCCGTCCCGCACCACACGGGCTTTCTTCCACGGAGCGTGCGCGTCTGTTATGGGCCTGCAGAGGGGGTTAGGTTAGCGTGGTGGGAAGTCTCTGTTTTCAGGTGGTCCTCACAGGTGGACTCACAGGTGGTCCTCACAGGTGGTCCTCACAGGTGGTCCTCACAGCCGTGGAGGAACTTAAATGTTCATAAACCCGTTAAACTCTCCGGCAGCGGTCCGAAGCTCCCCGAGCTAGCTTAGCGGCATTAGCAGCGGGGTTAGCCGGGAGCTAGCAGCAGCAGCAGCACCGTCTAACGGTTTAACGGTTTAACGGTTTAACGGCGTCCGAAAAGAGCCGAAACCCACCCGACACCGACCCGCCTGCAACCTCAGCCGGTACCGAATTCCGTTAAAAGAACCAGGCTGTAAGAACCGACTGCAAAGTTCAGCCGGTACCGGTACCGGTTTTCATGTGTCGTAAASAGACTTTCACTGATTATAATCAGACACAAACATTTGATTTATATCAACAAAGAAACGTTCAGAAATACATTATTAAACATGAAATATAATATATTTMATGTTTAACATCAAAATAACACTTTAATCTGTCTTTTCGGTGTCCTGAGCAGGATTATGATGTTTTTAATCTGCTCTAATCCCTCAGAATAAATGTATTTCACCATGTTTTACATATTATTTCAATCAGGGCTGTTGAACTTAGTCACCAAAGATAAATTATATTTATAAAACTTGATCCTGATCCGTCTTGAAACATGATTATTTATTTATTTTAAATTAAATTATATGTCAGATTATGATTACANATAATATCTCAAAAATTATATTAAGTCCTAATAATTTTGATACAATTAAAATGAGATTTTCGGCACTGACTGTGTATTTATTGAATTGTGTGCTTAKTTTTACTGTTGTGTCTGTTTAGTATTTATGGATTAGATGTAATCCAGGTGACACAGCTAACGTTAAATGTAACAGACACATCAGGTTGTGTTATCAGATAACACAACCTGATGTGTCTGCTGTGTAACAGACACATCAGGTTGTGTTATCAGATAACACAACCTGATGTGTCTGTTACACAGCAGACACATCGGGTTGTGTTATCAGATAACACAACCTGATGTGTCTGTTACACAGCAGACACATCGGGTTGTGTCGACCTGCAGATGGTTCTGCTGAGGTTTGGCAGCAGATTCCCTCAGATAACAGCCAGCTGTTGGCATGTGTGTGTGTGTGTGTGTGTGTGTGTGTGTGTGTGTGTCAGCAGGTTTCCACACATCTTTGTTTTCTTGGCAGCAGGTCTTTAGCTGAGTTGTAGATATTGGTGTATGTGAGATAAAAGTCAAGTTTGTCAGTAATTTGCAGATAAAATGCTATAAATTAAATCATAAAGAGAAAACAAGAAAAAGTTTTTGAATTTAAACCTCAGAGCTTTATTTATTCCACCTGACATGGCTGCCATGGTAACAGTGATGGTCTGAGGYGTCCTTCTCTGTGACCAACGTCAAACATGCTGAGCAGAGATCAACCCTTGTGTTCCTGCAGCCACGCTGATGTGTTAATGCTTTACAACACACGACAACTTAAAACTGGAGTAATGATAGCAGCTAAAATGTTTAACTAATTACCACAGTCAAACATTAGTATTTAGTAGTGTTTGATCAGTTATTTATAGCCTTGTGTTTGTCTGAGTTTACACTGATGCCTCTGACTTGGACACTGAGGAGTTCAATGCAAATAATATTAATAATAATTTAAAAAAAACATACTTCTTTAAAATAAATTTACAAAATATAAAATTGCATTTTCCTGTGTGTTTCTGGCAGCAGCCAGTCACTGCATGTTGGCATTCTGGATCATTTCAGTCCGTTTGTTTCGCTACATTTAGTGCAAGACCTTCAATCCCTCCAATCCAAACTGTACAGAACAGTTAGCAAAGATAAATAAATAAAAGCATAAATAAGTCCAAACAAGCTGTCAGAACCATRTCACGAGCCAACAGTCTCCTGTGATAAATAAAAACACATCTGTCAGGAGTTGTTTTCTTCTTCAGGGGAGAGGACGACGTGCTTTAAGCATGTCCACGTGTGCAGTCCGAAGTCTGATCTGTGTGTGGYCTTCACGTTCACGTGTCATCACAAACATAGTGTGTATCATCTGCACTCAACTGCACCTTCCTAAATATAAAAACACAATCACATGGAGGGTAAAACTCAGCTGATTTGAAGTAGCTCTGAAGTGAGAAAGCTCCTCACCTCCTCACAGATTTAAAGCACTTTGTTTGTTTGTTTGTTTGTTTGTTTGTTTGTTGCAGTGCTGCGTCTCTTCAATCCAAAGCTGTTCTTTTTGTATTTTCTGACAGAATAACAGACTGAAGCTGTCCTGCAGTGCAGCTGTCCCCTCTGACAACATGTTAGGATTAGTGGAGTAAGCCAAGCCACGTCCAGGTTTAGTGTCCTTTCAAAATAAGAGTCAGGGAAGCTAGAAGGAAGTCCTCATGAATATGTACAGCCGGTGGGAAGATGGAGGGAGTCAGGGGAGGATGTAAAACTWAAAAGAAGGAGCAGGAATGACATGACGGTCTAATTAAAGTATGAAAGGTGAGGGATGATGAGGAAAACTTCAGAACTCTTCTTGGTCTTGTGCTCCCTCATCAATTTCTTCATCTTCTGGTGGTGCGAAGCCTTCCTGTAAAACATGGTTCATATCAGAGTCAACATGTTTGTGCTGCTGTGCTAACAGAGCATCGTTAGCTCAAGACTGGACAAATAAACAACAACAACACTGTGACAGACACATGACCACTATCAAAAGAAAACACATCCAACAGCTTGTTGATAACATCCCTGAACTCTGATCAGAACCACAGCATTCTGGGGATGAAGGTAGAGAGAAAACTTTAGCTGCTTAACCTTTAGCAACATCAGCTAACTCCCTGAAACCTGCTGAATAACATGTAGCAGTTTCATTTTTCACCTCATAACTACTTCAAAATAAAAAATAAAAAACAATGACGTGACAGGGGTCGACATAATCATCGTTTAGTTTGTCTGAGACAACTTATTTTTGTTTCAGACAACCAGATCCACCTCCTGGTTGTCCAGTGGACAACAAGAAAAAACAGAGCTAAATTAAAGTTTTCCTCCCTGGGTGTCCATCGTTGTAAAAATGATCGAGAAAAAAACTCGTCTAAGGATTAAACTGATGTTTCTTTCATCCAATAAGAGCACCACAATCAAAGTTTTATCCAATCAGAAGAGAGCAGGGCGGGTCGTACCGTCTGACTGACAGCGCTGCCTTCCTCTCTCTGTGGGCGGAGTCAGCTTCTCTCAGCTCAGGTGAACACCTCCCAGGAAAGCTCTCAGGGTTTCCTGGACTATTTCCCACCCAGGATTACGTCATATTTTGTATATATTATATTTCTAAAAGCAGCTCAAAGCATTTCCACCATAACACTGTGTTCACAAGTGCACCACCACCAYCGATCACCTGACTGTTTTTACAGTGACACCTTTAGACAGTTACCTGCATAATGAGCATCAAATATTAGTAAYTTTGCAATAAATCTGTATTAATCACACAGGTGGGGTGGAGGTGCAACCTGCTGACTGAGAACATTTGTATATAAACTTTGTWTTCAGAACAATATACTTATTAAATGACATTTTTATTGAGATTTCTTTGAACCAAACCTCATGTACCCCTGCGTGGAGTGACGGGAGAGTGAGCAACACTTCAACAGGGGTTTGGCAGTTTTAATCAGCCCTTTTTTTCCTGGTGCTTAATTCAAAAATTTAAAACAAAAAACTAATCATCTACACGGACTGACATAAAAAGCTTAATTTGGATGTTTGGTAGAAAAACATCCTGTAGGTGGAYTTGAATTTAAGACCACAAACTGTTCAAAGTTGTTCCTTATTTCCAGTAACAACATTCAGSTGTTTTGTAAAAACAAAAGTTTCAACTTCTCTCTAAAATAAGAGCGAATCATGACGTCACCACCGTGTTTACCTCTGTGGCGTACAGGATGTCGATGATTTTGCCGAGGACTGGGTTGGTTTCACTTTCGTTCTCCTGGCAGATGAGCTCAATGTCTCTCAGCTTCCCGAAGTAGAAGTCCCTCTCCTTCTCCAGCCCGTCGATTGTCATCTTCATGTCCAGGATCTGCAAACACAAGAAGAGAAGGACTTCAAACAAGTCTGACACTTTACACCAAGTTATTTATCTATAAAACAAACAACTAAAGCACTTAAATGATAAATTTAATGATAATAATAATCTGTATTAATAT